TCCTGACAGAAAGATGCTGATGGGAAAAATTATATTCAAACTAATATTTCATTTTGAAGACAAATAAACTTATGGACAAAAATTTAGAAGTCAASAGTGAAAACAACTAAGTCACATCAACAAAAAGTCCAGTGAAAACAAAAAATTACATTCACAGGCAATGGGGGAGCTCAGAATTTCAGAACCCTCAACCACTCTAAYTGAAGCAGCTATAAAAGCCCTCTAAAATCAAGCAACCAGAAAAATAATTACACTTTTATATTAGAGCTGCTCTGTATATGAAAGAACTGTCATCAATAGCACAGCTTCATCTCATTCAAACACATAGAATAGAAATGTTGACAAACCCAGGAAAKGAGGATGACAGACTTACTGAACTAATAACAAATGCTTTAAATAGAGGCTGAAATCACCTGGCCTGGGTCCATGAAGGCTACCCCTATGGGTTGTAACATGGTTTAGCAAAATAAAATGCCCTCTAGACTATAGAAATTCYTTATTTAAAATATATACATATGCACACAACTGCTGCCACTGCRATGCCACATAGTAGATTCAATACACTCCAGAACACAGAAAACACAGATAGGCTATTTCTGTATGTTTTACCATGCAGTTTTATAGCAGACGTGCAATTCAAGTGACGCTGAATAAAGAAACAATCAGGGCAGAGCAATGATCAATATTTCATCAGACAGAATTTAAAAAATATTTTACATGTAAAAAACCAAAATGGTAAATCTATAAATTATGTTGAGCCTAATCATACAACTGTTATATTGACAGAAACAGTGGCTTAATTCTAACCAGCCACRCTTTTCTGAAGCTGTTTCAAGGATGACTGTAGGCTTTTTAACTACTGAGCTAGGAGATATTGGATTCATCAGCACATTTTCAAGCTTTATAATAATTGGCATGCACACTATGTGTATTCCAGACTAAAAATTTATTTGTATGAAGCAAGAGAATCCAGGACTGTGTTTGTCGTGAGAAATATTGCAAATGCATACTACACTGTCCAAAGAACATTTTAAACAATGCTAGGTAACAAACACAAATACAGCATTTTGTAAAATCATGCTATAGAAAACTTGATTTCTTAATGCAGATGTAAAAAAACTCTGAATGAAAGTGTACCAAAAATATCATTGCTCGTCCTCCAATAAATTTCTAAATTTCTATTAAATATGTATTTAATTTAAAATAATTTGCAAGATACAAGATGCACAGTAAAATGTATTAAGTGYGGCCAAACCAGTCCCACATTTCTTAGAATGTCACATCTATTCTGTCTACCCAGTGCCCTGCAACAATAAAACTGAAGCAGAAAAATGGGGTTAAGAACACTGAAAGGGAAGAGAAAGAGAGAAAGGAACAATCTAAGTCAAAGAATACAGTGTGACAAACTCTTGCTTAAATATTATTGCATTATAACAGTTAATGTATGGTTAGAGGTCACCACAAGGTGTGACATTTTAGGGACAGTCAATAAAAGCAAAATGGCACCACCTGGTTGTAGAAGAAATCAGTCAGTAAAAGTTGTGGGAATGAACAAGCTGCTGCAGATTCTAAGCCTGTGAGGGTATCATGCTTTGTTGGCCACTAAATAAARAGCAATATTTTTTGGAACCCCAAGTGAAGGTTTGAGAGATCACCAACTTCTCAGAAAAGTACATGAGACAATTGTTCCCTTTTACTGTGGATTCAGTTACCAGGCATTATAAAATGGATCATGTTTTATGCCATCCTTCATTATGTCCTGCTAGTTTTCACTAATATTTAATATAAAATGCAGTGCAGCCTTGCTCTTATCTGCATTCAGAACCATGCTGTGATCAAGGAACTCCTGAGCCAAGGAGTCTCTATTTTCACAGGATGGTTATGAACTACAGTAAACTGTCACACTTCAAAACCTGCCTGTTGCCTCATTCAGTAAACAGCAACAACTCRGAATGTCAAAAACTAACTTCCAAAACCTAACTAACATAGCATTTCTACCCAGCAAGAAATAACTTATGACTGAACAAAAGTGAAACAATTATAGATTATTAAGGTTATTTTTCTTGTTTAAATCCCATAAAACCACATGAAAAAGCCAGGATTTTTCAGCAATAGTTATTTGTGAGGGTCTACTCAGTTTGTTTGCCCTCTAAAGAAATACTGTATTCATTCTACTARTGAAGTCAAAGACCTAGAAAGTTTCAGGAGTTTCTATGCACATGCATTATGAATATCAACCTCTGCCTCTCAACTTCCCAAAAAGAGAAACAAAAGCCTTACAATCCTTTGCATATGTTTTATTGTGCTATGCTGTCATGTAGAAAGATCAGGGTTTGAAGTTTTATGATTATGAATGGAATAAAAAAAGAAATACATTATCTGCTGAGAAATACCCACACTTGATTTTACATCAAAGAAGAATTTGAAACAGTCACAGCCTTGCCTTCCTACATGAACAAATGGCCATGATTACCCACCCAAAATGACTAGATACAAAATTGGATAAGGAAGCATGTGGGAAGTGGATGAATATCTTTGCATGAATTACCTTTCAGTTACTTCTTCCATCTAAATAGATCAATATTAGTCCTCAGAGTAAAMATAAACTTTGGATGATAACAGCACCAAGCTCAATCAGAGATAAGAACATACAATATATTAAGAAACCTCTTTCACTATGACTTTGAGGCATCTGTCTGGTGGTTACTGCTCTCACTTCAGCAGTTTATATTCTGACTCTGGTGAATGGAAGCCCAGTCTCTGAAACAGCCTTTGGGGAACACTACTGAATTGYTCAACAGAGTTCTTACTCAGAAAATAGAGAAGAAGATTAATATTACAGAAATCTTGAAAGACCTAGCTTCTGAGAAAGGAGACAAGAGCAGTTTCCTAATACTGTACACATCACAAACCTGTCTTTYACTAAAACATTAAAAACCTGGCCTAAAAACTGAAGTGATTCAATATGAATAGACCTAAAGGTAGAAAACAACATCTGTTTAAGTCACATTCAGGCAAAAGTAAGAACAGTGTATCTTATCTCATTTGTCAATAGGCATAATGAAAACAGAAGAATGAGGACTCACATAACAGACTTTTTCCTAATGTGCTTCAGAAGGTCACAGGCGCTTTGCTTAGTCCTGGTGCTGTCACAGCAACATATGGCAACACTGAATCTTGTCAAGAACTCACAATGTCATTATTTTAAGTGTCCAGTAGCACAAATTACTAAATTTGTGTGTGGTCCTAAGCAAACAACAAATCTGGCCACACACAGTGAAAACCCAGCTTCTAAAACTTCAAAATCAGCTGAAGGAATTCTCTCCTCAGGAGCCATAGATATCAGATAGTAGCCACTTCTGAACTCCACAGCCACTTTCAAAACTATAAAAGGCTTCATGTAAAACCAAAATAAAGCTCTAAAAGTGGCTGCAGGAGATCACTAGGAGTGGCCGCTCTTCTGGATTCGCTGCTTTTAAGAAGTAAAACCCTGCAGCTGCTTTTAAAAGCTTTGAAAGTTTCATTTCAATTATCAAAGCCAATAAAACTTCAAAAAGAGCCATAGGGATTTCTTCCTCAGAGGAGCAAACCCCAAAAGGCAGTGATGAATAGTGTGATGGGTTTTGTGGCTCTTAAAAGTATGTACAGATTCCTGTAAGTCCTGCACTTGTAATTGCAGCTCCATGTTGTGCAGCAATTGTTACAGCCAGACAGCTCATTAAGGCTTATGTGGTAAATTCATTACTGATTTCCCATTCTCTTTAATGGTTTTATGTCTGTTCCCTTTTCCTTTTCTTACACCTGTATCAACTATTATGCCAGCACCCCTGACAGGAGTTTCTCAAACACATTTCATGAAGACCTCGCTGGCTSCAGTGTCAGGTGGTGCTCAGCCAGTCCCAAAAGGCAGGACACGCCTTCCCAGCCGCCCCACATGCCGTCATCACATCCTCACAGCCAGGGCACTACAGCCTGCAAAACCACGCCTTTCTCTGAAGGGCAATTTAAAATGGCATTTAGCAAAGTACAAGAGTGAAGTCTGACAATAAGTCAATGAAGAACTTGCCTGCAACTGCAATATAAAAAGGCTCCCGTTAATTCAATGAACATAAACAAAAATAACATTTCAGAAGCATCCACATTGACTTAAAAAACCTAACTGTACTGATTTGCATCAAGATTTTGGTCTTATCTTTAAAACTCTGAGAACTAGATCCCTAAAAATTTGTGACATAAGCAYAGGTCTGAAAGAGATACAATGTACACTCCTAAATAATTTGAGATTAGTATGTTCAGACACCGATGGCACTGAAAACATTACCAAAATTATGCTGAAAAATGCACACTTAGGTACTACAACACAAAGCATATTAACAAGGTATGTCATATAAAATACATTTTAAGCGTATTTCCTAACCTTGAAACATCACTGATTTTGTAGTTATTCTACTGAAGTTTTTAACTTCCATTTTCAAATGGCAGAATAAATAAACATACCTTTTTGCCACAGTAAAYAAACATAGCTTTCTGAAAACATGCTGTAAGAAAATCACTATGAACTTAAATAGATGCAGGTGTTAAGAACTGAATAACTGGTTGTATGGGGAAAGAAAATCTTGACAGGAAACTTAAACATTCTGTTAAATGTTATTCACAGGTATCCTCTGTGACCTGTACTACTTACTTTACCTCTCTGTTTCAATCTTCTCATGTGCAAAACATGAAGGACAATTGTGAGAAATAATTAATGTTTGCAAAGAGCTTTGAGATCCTTGGATACAAAAAATATGGGGAAAGAAGGAAGTTTAAAAGTACCAGCATGTTATTTTATTTCCAACTTGAGGTAAGTTACTTTTATCATAAAACCTTGAAAGTTTAGAAATAGAAAATTATGTAATCAAATGCTTAAAAAACCATCTTAAGTGCTAAGCATATTCAGTTCCTCAGAACCTCATCACTTTGAAGGAAACACTCTGAGAAGAAAAAGATGTACTTCTCACCCGTTTCAAGTATGCGTTTATGGAGAGGTATAGCAGCAAGAAAGGGTTCATCTTTACAGGACTGGATCTGGATTCCAACCAAGTCAGAGTTGGTGGCCAAAATTCGGGCACTTTCTTCATTGAGATTAACACCAGCCATTGAAGCAACATCATTGATGTCATCGTCATCTCTGTAATAAAAAGAAAAAAAAGCATATAAAAGCAACTCTCCATGTAATACATTCATTTTTTCTATCACCTGCTTCTCCAGAAATAATCATCATGCCACATGCCCAATGAGTGGGCCAATTAARACACAACCCCTAACATCTCCATTTTTATAGAATATATTTTACATTCAGAAATAATCAAGTATTTCTCTGATTATATTAGGAAAACTTCAGAAGCGGGACTACTTGACTTATAACAGAAGGTGTGAGAGGGGGGTTCTTCACCTGAGAGTCAGTGATAGCAATGAAACCAGGATGATTAGGAAACTAGAGGCAATGATCACCACTAATGACAAAGCATTGGGCTTCTCTCTTTATAATGAAAACTAGGCATAAAATGGTGAAATAAATACAAGAAATTAAAAGCAAGAACATGAATTTGTAATCCTGCACTGTTTCACGAGTTCCTACTAAAAAGGGCACCAAAGTGTTTTCAGCAACAGTCAGGGAAGGTTCTTTGACCATGCTGAGTTCACAGGTAAGCCTGGGTTCCAACTATGGCTTGAATACATGCTGGTATTTTCTCTTGCAACACACAAAAATCAGCTGTGTCCRCAAGTTTTAGGAAATCGAGCTGCATTTGAGAAGACAATAGCAACTCCCAGGCCATGTTTGGCCCTGCAATATCCTTTTTAACAGCCTGAGAAAGTTCTGAGTTTTTATACCAGTATCTCCCAAGCATCTTTTACCTCCTACCTCTCTGAGGTATGACTCAGAGCTGTAGAAACAGCCATCTGCATTTAGYACATTCTGTTTCACAGTTATTATTGACACAAACACTATTTCAACATATTCTAGAATGATTACACAACCTYTGAGAATATTTTCAGAATATATATGGAAACATAACATGGAAAAGAACATCCAAGTCCAGATTCTTGTTACTGTACAAAGTAAACAAACAAAAGCTTAAATTAAAAGATTTCTTCAAAATAGTTACATACCTGATGTCCTGCACCCAAAAATGCTTTGTCACTTGTAACAAGCTTAATGGCCACAGTAAAAACCAAAAGCTGYAAGTAAGCTCTGAGAATAAAAGAAGGGAAATCCAGAAATCCATAATATAGATCCTCCCTCTCCTCCCATACTTTTCCTGTYATCTGCACTACAGCAGCCAGTTTGGTGGAAGATTTCTATGGCTTGTTAGATGTTTGGTTTTGTTTTCTTTTGTGGAAAGAAGTCAAGAAGGGACTTTTATTTGTGTAAACCTGCAGAAATGCATGGAACACTTGAGGCAGAAAATGGAAAATTTTACAATGCTTTTAGGAAAAACTACACAAATGAGCTTCTATTACTTTCTAGGAGTGTTAAGCACTTGATTTCTTCTCTTAAGACAAAATTCCTGACAACAGTGTTGCCAACATCATAGAATGGTTTTTTGTTGGAAGGATCTTAGGAGCAGCCACAGCTGCTCTGGGCACCCTGTGCCAGGGCCTGCCCACCCTCACAACTTTTTCCTAATAGCCAATGTAAACCTATTCCCTTTCAGTCTGGAGCCATTCCCCTTTCTCCTGGCACTCCAGGCCCTTGGATATTCTCTCTCTCCATCTTTACTGCAGGCTCCCTTCAGGCGCTGGAAGGCCACAACTGGGTCACCCTGGAGCCTTCTTGTCTCCAGGCTGAACAACCCCAATTCTCTCAGCCCTTCTTCCCAGAAGAGAYGTTCCAAGCCTCTAATGCTGTCACTTTGACATCTGATCCGCCATGGACACAGCACTCACACAGGGCTGCCATGAGGAACTGGCTCTGTGTGCACACCCCGCCCGCCCGGGACTGCCCCACAYCACACAACCAACACCACTGACACATTCAGAAACCAGGGCAATCGTCTGGAACTCTACAAATGAAAGACAGCAGGCAAAACTGAAAAAAAACCTAAGATGCTGAGGGGTCAAAAAATGAATGCTTGAAATAGAATGAGAATCAACCAGGACTCAGGAGGCCCCAATCCCACAGGCCTCGAACCATGGGAAAACCAAACTCCTATTGAGGCAGTCACCAGAACCAACTCTGAACCGTGGAAAAGAGAGRAAGCTTCTGGAAAACAGACCTGAACCCAGAATTTCAAATAAAGGTACAACTGACCAAACTCCAAATGCAGTGGTGACCCCTTATGGACCCTCCCAGCACCGTGTGTCAGGTTCTGCTGCCAAGGGGATGAGCACAGGGCCCTGCAGGACCCCGATCCCACA